CAGCTGCCGGCCTGAGGGGAGCCGGGGACACGGCTGCCCGTCCTCGGGGAGGGCTGGAGGAGAGGGGCTCCTGGAGGAGAGGGGCTCCCTCTAGACAGGTGAGTGTGGGTGGGAACGGGCAGGGCGCCCACCAGCGCAGCCTGGGAGGGGGATGGAGGGGGGTGTCACAGGGCCAGGCCTTGGGCCAAGAACCTTTTCCTGGGTTGGCCAGGTTCGCAGAGTGGTGTCAGGATGCCTCCTTCATTCCCCACTGGGCCGAGCGGGAGCCTCAGCGCGTGAACCCATCTGGTCTGGCGTGGTTTCGGGGGAATGTCTGCTGGGCCTGCACCTGAAGTCCTGGGAACCTCAGGAACCCCGAGTGCAGACAGAGGCGCAGGAGCGAGGACTGGAAGGTGGGGGAATCTGCACTCTAGGGGGCGGGCGTTCCAGGGGCCCCTGAACTGGGTGCCTCATTGCGGGCTGAGGGGCGGAGTTAGGGGCGCAGCTTTGGGTGTTCCCACCAAGATCTCCAGGCCAGGGCGCGCTGGGGGGAGTGCTCCCGCCCCGACCACCCCCGCCGTCCGGAGAGCGGAGCCACCAGCCGCACAGGAAAAGGCACACGCGGCACCTCCTTTTTTATTTTTATTTTTTTTTGCTTTTATTATGAAAACAAAACAAACGCCCCAGGAGAAGGGTCCATGATTACCAGAAACATCGGAGCACTTGCTACCATTTTATTCTGTGTGTGGAGGCCAGCATTGCAGCAAACAAGCTAAAACTACGTACAATGGACTCGTTTTCAGTAACTGACATTTACAGGAATATACTAGAAACGGCACTAAAAAGTTTAAGAAAAGGTACGGTAAACTCGCATGCACATCATACAGAAAGCAACGTTTTAAATATAAAAAGGAAAACGTCGGGAAGCGTCACGCGGGGGCTGCTTTCCCCAAACAACTGTAAAAGACGTGAATCCGCAAAAGAACAAACCCAAACGCAAAGGCGACGTATCTTACAGTGTGTGGCGAGCGAGGCGACGTCCTGCCCCAGGACGCGTGCAGCCTGCCCGTGGCCCTCGAGGTCAGTCCCGAGGGTGTTTGCAAAGCCATTCCCTCCGCGTGGCCGACCAGCTCAACACGCGGGTCCTTCCCCTTAGACTCAGGCCACGCACGCAGGCCCCCCCCAAACCGCAGCCTCCCCAGCACAGAGACATAACCAACACCCGCAGGTGAGCTGAGGCTGGAGGGGCCCAGATGGGAGAGACACCGCTGTGCAGTCTGGACAGAGAGCCGCAGGGACTGCAGCACCGACGAGCCACGTGCCTCAGCAGGGACAGCGCCCGGGGAGGCCCGAGAAACCGCTGTCTCGCCCAGACGGCTCCCTCCACGCTCAACTCTGGGGCCAGGCGCTTCTCCCGCTAGCGGCTCCCACGGGTGACTCTTCGCTCCCCACCCCCGTGTGAGGCTGGCGCTCCACGGGAGCCCCCAGGCATCACGTGAGACCCTGCTCGCCCGTCGGGCACTGGTTCCTTAGTCGTAGGTTAAATATGCCACCAAAGGCCTGTTTAGAAAACACTTCGAAAAACTAGGGAAACTTTAAAAATGGCAAGTTTTAAAACCCACTTATATATTTCCTATAAACAAAACTTAAAAGTTTAACAAGCTGGCCCAGAACTCACCAAGTGTCGGAGTCCCCAGGAGTCAGGGAAATGGAACTCCAACCCCCGCGCCCTCAGCGGAGCGCGCAGCCACGGCGGACCCACGGCCACGAGG